CGTGTCCAGGGAACGTGCGCGCGCAAACTATTGGCGCCAGAATGTTCCAGTCGATCGACCAGTCCTTGTACTGTGAAATGTACAGTGTACACGCGACGCGTGGTAGAAGTTTCGAGTACCAATATATTTAGTTGTTTTACAATCGTATGTTATGTGTTGAATTGGCTGAATTGTAAATACAATTTCTGTTTAATTTCATTTTACGTAAGTTGTACAAAACGAACTCCTCAAGAGTTCGTAATTTTGGGTTGATGAGTTCGTAGAGTTCGTTGTCACTGAGGAGTTCGTAGAGTTCGTACGTATCATCTATGCAGCAAGGCCTTTGACATGGTTGACAGCAGTATTCTTCTGAGAAAACTTGAGCACTATGGAGTTCGGGGGTTGGCTTTATCTTGGTTTCACTCATATCTAACCGATAGAGAGCAATACGTGAGCGTCAACAACTGCAAGTCCTCTCACCTCAAACTTAACTACGGAGTACCACAGGGCTCCGTTCTCGGACCAATTCTGTTCATAATCTACATCAACGACCTTCCTCAGATTAGTAATTTAGCTAAACATATTTATTTCGCTGACGACGCAAACCTAATAATAAGTACAGATACATTTGAACAACTTAATGCATTGGTGAATGAGATTCTGACTTTGATAATTGATTGGGCTACTAATAACGGGCTTAAATTAAATGCTAGCAAAACTAAATACATGATCTTTACAAATAAAAAAACTAAGGATATAGAAATCTACATGGGAGGTGAGCGACTAAAGCAAAGTTATCACGAAAAGTTTCTTGGCGTGATCATTGATACTAAGCTAAATTGGGCCCACCACATTAGACATTTAGCCACTAAAGTATCTAGAAATGCGGGTATTCTCTACAAACTCAAAGGCTCAGTACCTAACAAAGCACTCAAGTTGATATACAACAGCTTTGTTCAGTCTCACTTGTACTACTGCTGCACAGTTTGGGGAACAAGATCGCTAAACTCCGTTAAAAGAGTCTTCTCGGCCCAGAAAAAGGGCATTCGCGCTGCAGATAACCAATACCACCGCTATTTTTATGACAAAGATCTGAATAGCACACCTTCACACACAAAGGAAATTTTCAATAAACTAGAAGTATTAGCTTTACCGAACGTGATAGCTAAATGTATATTATGCTTAATGCACAAAGTTTATTCTAACACTGCACCACCAAATATTATAAGAATGTTCACTGTTTCAAACTTAAACGCACCTAGAAGAGAACCTGAGTTCTTTGCAGTACCATTTAACCGTTTATGTAATTCAGACAAGAGCATTTCTTACATTGGGCCTAAGTTATATAACCAAACAGTCAACATTATTAACAAGGACATAAAATATGTCACCACCTGCCTACAAGACAAATTCCTAAATTCATTCAAGTCTACAGTCAACAAGCATGTGCTTACTGCACAAGCACATAAACCGGATGACAAGGACTGGGACAACTCAAATTTCGTACTTTTAGAAATTTAAATAATTTGGTATAACATACGTTGATCATAATAACGAGCAACAAAACTTTAACCTCATAACAAAATATGACTATCTTCGAGCATTTTTTACAATGCTATCGACACCGCGCAATTTCACTGTCATTTACAACTTTTAAAAGATAAAAATATCACCGCGCATTCTTCAGACCCTGTGTCGCTGTTTTAAATTTATGTCAAGAGATAAGAGTTATTTAAAATTCTTAATAGTACTATTTAAATTTGCTAATAGCATAATCATATTTTATACATTATTAATACTTTATACATTGTGTGCATATATTTATATTTGATTGTAATTAAAGATTTTAAGGCGTTAGTGCCGAGTAATGCCTTCGGGTAGTGCTCCTCAATCAAATCAAATCAATCAATCAATCAAAGGGTCAGGGTCAGGGTCAGGGTCAGGGTCAGGGTCAGGGTCAGGGTCAGGGTCAGGGTCAGGGTCAGGGTCAGGGTCAGGGTCAGGGTCAGGGTCAGGGTCAGGGTCAGGGTCAGGGTCAGGGTCAGGGTCAGGGTCAGGGTCAGGGTCAGGGTCAGGGTCAGGGTCAGGGTCAGGGTCAGGGTCAGGGTCAGGGTCAGGGTCAGGGTCAGGGTCAGGGTCAGGGTCAGGGTCAGGGTCAGGGTCAGGGTCAGGGTCAGGGTCAGGGTCAGGGTCAGGGTCAGGGTCAGGGTCAGGGTCAGGGTCAGGGTCAGGGTCAGGGTCAGGGTCAGGGTCAGGGTCAGGGTCAGGGTCAGGGTCAGGGTCAGGGTCAGGGTCAGGGTCAGGGTCAGGGTCAGGGTCAGGGTCAGGGTCAGGGTCAGGGTCAGGGTCAGGGTCAGGGTCAGGGTCAGGGTCAGGGTCAGGGTTAGGGTCTTAATTGTATTAAATTATATTGTCGGGGGTCAATTGTCGCCCACCCCGAGTGTAGAGTGATGTTGCACGCTCGTATAATCTCCAGTGTAAGTAAAAGTTCGAAACACCCATCTCTCCAAACGGCCGGGAACTAACTTTAGTAAACGAGACCGGTATTATACTAATACATCTATTTGATTCATCCAACATGTAACTACGACTAAATACTATACTAATGCATGTAACTACTTACTACTAATACTATACTAACTACACTGCATATTTAATAACTTAACTTGTATTTTTAGCTCCCTTGTTGTGTTTCTATGCGTTTTTAATTTTACTGGAGTCTAGACCTAACCTACATTTAAAACTTTACTCCGTTTCTTATTCGTATAGTGTCTTTTATAATGTATTGAAGACTAATTGCAGTCCCTCCTTCACTATACAGTATACTTGGGCCGACTCGTGTCTAAGTTGATAACCAACCTGCATTATGCGGCTTAGATGCATGTAAATGCAGGCCATGTATATACAGCCATGGTAATGCTCTCCAAGGCTTCTTCTCAATATTATCTAACAGTAATTTTCGCTTTCCTGATCTCATTCTCTCTGACATCATCCTTTAAAATATACACATTTTTGACACATTTTGTACGATAAAACAAACTTTACCGTTACGGTTGAATTCCAACATTTAACTTAAAATTACTGGTAGGTCTTTCCAAGATCTATTTGATGAGCCCTACACCAAGGGTTAAAAGTAAAAGCTTTACACAGGGCTACCTTAAGGCTTAAATTTACACTAACTTGGGGAACCAAAACATCTCGCCAAATTTAACAAAATTATGTCGCGTTACGCCGATCGATTTCCACTTACATTTATACTAGAAACGATCAGTAGCATATAGATACCACAGATATGTAAACTTTCACACTATCAGCTGGAAACCAGAAATCCAATTTCCACCAGAAATTCAAAAGGAGGTATTTTAAAATATATGTTTCTTCATAGCTCATATATTAATGTGCAATTTGCAGTTATTTTGCACTTATCCAAAAGTCCCTAGCACACTCCCATCGAAACGAAGAAAAAATTGGTAAATATGAAAAACATATGCCTAAATTTGTTTTGTGACTTTGAGGTTAAAAAATCAACTTTCCAGTTTAGTTGGCTGAGCACATGTTTGAAGACTTTAAAAACTGTGCAAGAATTCCGAGAACAATTTCATGTCAAGTATCAAAAGAATCCAATGTTCGAACCTGATAAACATAATAGATTGGCACGGTTAACGGTATAACTATAGAGAGGTTTTATAATATAATGCACAAATATATGATCTAAAACATGTTCTGATATTCTAGTCGCATATCAGTAACACCAGGCATGGTGTATCAGTATGGGCGCTTTTAAGTTTTAAATTATAAACTTTACATATTTAAGTGGTCTCTAGGGATCAAGTACAAAGTTAAATCATATTTACCCATAATGTATGTATTAACTGACACAGGATAGTTTTAAAATTTCTTTATTTATATTGTGTGTAAGGTATTTTGTTGAAAAGGAAGTGTAAGAACTCATTACCAGGCAATGAGGTAATTTACCTTATTTATTTAACTAATTTATTTCGAATTAATCTAATGTTATGATATTTTTAGAACATATTATGTTTGCGTTAAATATTATGAAGCTCATGCCCATCAAGCCTTAGATGGGGGCCTTGTTAGAAGATCATGGTTCTTGTAGGGGTCTTCAGTATAACTTTAAAGCAAACATTAGTCAAATATTTATTTTATGAGTTACATTGGAGCGTACTGGAAAATTTATTGAATTATGAATCATGAATCATATCATGAATTATGAGCATATTATAGTAGGTATGGGGTCGTTCACATATTACGTTATCAGCCGAGGGGGGAGGGAAGTTTCCAAATGATTACGCCAGTGTAATTTTGACACTATAGCTATGTGTAAAACTGATTACGGAGGGGGGAGGGGGGTTACAAATTGTCCAACAAGTCATTATAGAATATGTGAACGACCCCTATACAGCAGCTTCTGAACATAAAGAATGGTTATTTCATAAACCCGTTTGTGACATTTAGGCCACCCTGAAGATATCTCATGTCTCAGATCTTTCATCAAATGGGTAACTTCGTCTTCAAACGAACATTCAATACCCTAAATTTGTCTGAAGAAATGCAGTGATGTTTTGTTGTTAGGACAATTGTTAAACAATGAATAGCTAAGAGTAGAATGCTTTTGTTAACGGGTGATACTCGTAAGATATTTGTTTCAAATACCGTCGACGAGTCCAACTCGGCGCGCGTCTTGGTAGGTTAAAATTAAATAAACCTACAATGCTTTTGCAATGACGAAAAGGTAGAGAATTTAAGTGAGTTTTCGGCATGAATTTTTCGCTATTACCTTTTTACTATGACTTGTTTGCCTTGACTTTTTACCATTGCTTCTATGTCTTTGACACCATTTGTGGCACAATTGAGCAGTTTTAAGAAAATGTATACACCGGTTTATCGCTGTCAGGTGTCAAAACAAACTTACGCCACCGCGGCATTTTCTAATTAATATTATCAAGAAAACAAAAAATGTGTTATACCAATTGCCGAATATTAAATATTTTTAATCTAAAAGGTTTTAAGAACCGGTTTTTCTGTGAAGGACTGTGAAAATGACAAATGTAAGTCTTTTCTCAGAAAACTATTCAGTAAAACATTTCCTGTTATTTCGCTCTCTTATATCATGTCCTACTCATATTGGTTTATCATCTCAATGATAACGAGATTAAAAGTGTCTGAAGTCACAATATGGTCTCAATATAATAATTTGTTAAAAACTTTACTTTCGATCATAAATGACACAAGCGTAACGAACCATTTCAGCTTATCCTGGAGTTATTACTATTTGTTATCAAATTCGATCGAATCTGAACTATACTTGTCTATTAATATTATACATTTATCACATGCCTTCTCATACGATGTTAAAACAATACAATATATTCTTAAGTATCTTAATAGTTTTTATGAAAAGTATTAAAATATTAAACTCTAATTTCCTCAGGTGTATCCCCAAACTCAAAGTCCTCCTCCTCAACCTCAAGTTGTTGTGGTAAACCTTTTTAAGTAAACTTTTTTTACAGTAAACTTTTTTGGAATGCTTTCATTTTATTAATTACCCCAGTTTTAAATCATGTTTTAAAAGCTGAATAAGTTTGATATAGATACATAAGATACAGTGCACTGTGTGATACGACTTTTATAACTTGAACCGTGTATAATACTAATAGCGACTTAATAGGTAACAAACCAAATATCTTATTTAATATCCTATTCTGTAAGTCTAACCTAAACGTAACATTACCCAGGTACAACAAGGAGGAGTTGCCCCACAAACAAACGCCGTCTTAGCCTGGATATCGTGTCTGTGCTTCTTCTGGCCGATTGGACTGGTTGCTGTACTGAAAGCTAACGAGGCAGACAAGTGTATTGGACGAGGAGATTTCGAGGGAGGAAGAAGAAGTGGGGAGGTACGTACTTAACTATTTGAAATTTGAATCTTAATTTAGTTCCTTTTGATAAGATGAATCATTGCTAAAAGATAATTGTAGTAAGATAACTATTCTAAACAAATGTATTTTACTGTAGAACGATTGATTTGCAAGCCTTCTCAATTCTCATAAACCATTTTCCCAGGCGGCTAAGAAATGGGCTATTGCCGCAATCGTCACACCAATAGTTCTCATGGTTGTCGCGGGAATCATCTACTATATCGTCTTCGCTGTTTTAGCTTCCAAAGCTGTTGCCAGTGTTCAAACCTTTGATTGGAATTAAAGTAAAGTTCATTATTAATTTATAAGATAAGTTTTAAATATTCGTCCAGTATTTAAAAAATATTAATAATAGTGGTAATGTTAATATTTTTACGCATTTAGGTATATATACTTTGGATTATTTTTTGTACATGTAGCTAAACTTTTTGGATTTAATTGTATTATGTATTATCTCAAAACTTTGTTTTCACTTCAAAATAAATCGGTGCATGCAAATACTAAACGAAAATTGGTTTAAAAAACGAAAATTTTGATTATATAATTAACGAAAATTGTCCAATTGGTATTTCGAAAATCGGTAAAAAATTAAAATTTTGATTACGTAATCAACGACCAAACTCCCCCTCCCCCCCCCCCCCCCCCCCCCCGTAATCAACCGTAAGCATTTGAAAACCACCCCCTTCGGCTGATTACGTAATATGTGAACGACCCCTTAGTTCACCTTTCTCTTCCACAACCAGTTGCCACTTAAGCGTTCATACACGACACATCTTACAACACTTACTGCTTACCATCATCCCACATTACACATTCTGATTCCCCCGGCATGATCCTCCCATAGGACTGCCATACCCCAGAGGTAGGCAAAGCATCCACATGCTATCCTTTCGTGGACCATCCAGGCCCAGCCTCTTTTTAAAAAATCCAACCGAACATTCTAGAAGACTTCTATAAATAGTAAATACACAGTACAGTGTACTGCGGACGTGATATGCATGGCTGGTCATACAATTATCTAAATTCTCGCACGTGAACAGGTTTGATTTGGGTTAGAGAACGTTTTTTAAACGTCTTTTGAACGTTTTTTAAAGAAAATGGAAAAAGTTGCGTTTTTTACAGATTCCATTTGCGTTTTTCCCAACCCTGCTGAAAATAACTTGCCCAAGTTGCTGCCCACGGTGTTAGCTCGATGCAGCTATCCGATCCGGGTCTTTTTAATTCGATTTTGAAAATCCTGGACCTGGAAAAATCGTCAAAAAATGAGGTCCAAGATTTTTAAAATCGAAATAAAAGTTTTCTGAGGGCCATCTCAAAATTCGGCTCGATACTTCTCTCCTAATTGATCCCTAGAACATATCTTAAAAGTTTCAGGGTGATTTCTCAACAAATGTAGGAGGAGATAGATTTTTAGACTCGATTTTTAGGACGCGCGATTGAAAATCGCTGCGCAATACCAAATTTACAATTAAACATGAGCGCTGACCTTTGACCATGGATAGCGATATTTTCAGCTAGCTAGCTAGTATTTTTCCATGGGACCAAAAGCAGCTGATAGATAGCACTCCCCTCTATCAGAAACTACTATTTCGAGAGAATTTTGATGAAGACCCCCCCCCCCCCCCGGCCCCCTTAACTAAAGTACTAGCAAAACTGCGTGTTTTGCTCTAGATACAAACTTTTTAAGAGATTCACCTAATTTGTTCAATTTTAGGGAGGGCACCAAAAGGGGGAGGGGCGCCAACAGGGGGGCGATTTTTCGGCGGGGCGCCAACAGGCAACGTTACGCCATGCACTAGGTTTCACCTAACCATGTGCTTTCGCGCCACTGCGGGCGCGCTTGTTTCAATACAATGCAAGTCACCGTGAGGCGAGAGCGCGCTACAGCAAGCGCAAGGGCTTTGGATAGAGCAACCACTAGGTCACAACACATTTTAATTTTGCCAGTCCCGGTAAAAAAAACAATCCAGGTACGCTCGCGTTGATCATCCCTAGTGGGCTCACTGGGCTGAGACTTATAATATTATTCTTATCATCCCTGTTTTGATTACTTATATTACTAGCTACGACGTCGGTGGAAATAAATTCTGGGTATCTGGTACCCTTGATTCACGATGTCAATCCTTCGCAGCTCGGTGAGGCACAGTGGTGCTTGCATCTCGCCGATCTACCGAAGTGGTTGCGAGAAGAATTATTTGATGCGCGGCGCGACCCAGTACACAGTAGTGCATCGCGCTACAACTGGTACCCATTTCTTCACATAGCCATGTGTATACGCGTACTGCGTGACGTAACGCGCTTGTTTCACAACACACAAGTTGAACCGAGAGGGCTCTGGTTAGAGCAAACCCATTTCTACTAGAAATTCTAGTCATGAGACGGTCTAAAATATTAAATAAATGTTCTCTTTCCGGAGGTCCTGACGAGATCTTGTCCGCTTCTCTGTACAGATAAGAGGTTTATCACGGTGTTATAGAAATTCTTAAGCACAATTCTAACTGCAGTTTTACAGAACTCTAAATACTCAATGAATACCCTTGCAATTCTGTTTTCACACTCAGACCTCAGTATTGAGTTGGGTCATTTTCCAGTACGAGATTGGGGACGGGTTCTACAAATAATAAAACAAACAAAGTGAGATCAAAGCAGCTCTTTACTTGCATGTACCACCTGTATTCATACTCAAAATTGAGTTTCGTCAGTTTCCGATACGAGATTGGGGCGGGTTCTAAACAACAACCAAACAGCTAGACTAGATCAAAGCAGCGAGCGCGCGCGAGCGCAAATTATCTGCAGAGCGCCGGTTTACACTTATTGATGCAATGCGCGTTCCTACAATGATAAAGATTAGATCACTCATTTTTGACGTCATTTTTAAAGTGAATTTGTGTGGTAAGGGATGTTTGCTCTTGAAACAGGGAGACAGGGAAAATTAAAATACAGGTTATTTTTAGTAGATAAAAACTTGGCAAAAGGTTGACATCATTTAAGCAACATTCCTTACCCAAACAAGGGATGGGCATAATGGTAGATATTGAACCTGGGTGTTAGCACTTAGCAGTTAGGTAACACATATCATTAAACATTCAACCAGCATTCCAGAGAAGTTTCATAACATTTTACTCTCATTAAGTCATTAAACATGCCATTTAATAAATTTTTGTGTCGATTAAGATGTAAGTAAAGGTTGTTTGTTTAATAAACGCCCAACATAGCTACATTATTTGGAATAGAGATGATTGGACAATTGAATTGACTACTATTAATTACCACTTACATTATTATCGTTATTTGCATCACTGCACGGTTTTGGTCGCTCTAAACACTCAGCAAGAGAAAGTTTCCCAGTTTTGACGGAACATTAGATCACGAATAAATACACGAAACCCAAAACCAGAACTTAACCCCTCTAGCTACAAAATACTGCAATCTACAAATTCCACACATTGTCGTCTCCGTACGTGGGCTATACGTCATGTAATGTTATCTCTGTTGAGATTCCTTCCGTGATTTAAGATCACATTATTTTAGTCGTGTCCTCACGTAGAAACAACATGTGTTCTACAAACAAGCTTTTAATAACATGTTAACATGTAATTTTAATAAACATTTAGGTTACAATAAGGTTAAAACATTATTTGTTGTCGGTTGTGGAGGCCAGTGTACCAGTGTTATTGGTGTTTAAGTTGCGAAAAAGCTGAATAGTGGATGCTTAAAGTTTGAAATTAATTTAGAGGCCAGCCGTATCATGGCTGTGGTTTCTTAACTTTAGGGCCAGGTGTAACTTAGTAAAGATATATACATTTGCATTATAGAGCAACATTCTACAACTATTAGAAGGTATCCTTTACAAACAGCTGTGAGGAAAGTGAGCTACTGAGTAGTATGTACAGATTAGACGTTGTAGTGTAACAGATGAGACGTTGTAGGTCTCGTCTCGACACTATCTAACACTTGTCCCCTTTTTTGGGGGGGGGGGGGGGGGGGGGTCAGGCCATGATTACGTAATATTGCTGTCAGGAGGGGGGGGGGGGGTGGGTCTTGATTACGGTTGATTAAGGAGGGCGGGAGGGGGGGGGAAATTGCTAAAATATTGATGACGTAATATGTGAACAACCCTTAAGGTTAGGAAGTAGATCTGAAGGAAGTAGAACATAACAGATGAGTCGTTGTAGTGCGATTGTAGGTGTGTTATAGTAGATCTGAAGGAAGTAGAACTGTGGATAGAAAGTCGCTAGGTGGAATTAGAGAATTAGGTAATGCTAGATATATATAATATGGTGATTGGTTTCTAAAGCTACATGTACGGGACAAACTCGTGACATGAGCTATCCTGATAAGTGTCCAATTGTATGGTAATACGACCCATAAGCTCCTATTTGAAAGATTCAGCTGCCAGTATTACTGTCACGCGTTAACACAAATAGTAAGGGGCCATCTATATCTACTTAGGACGTCCGACAAATAGGGAGGGGGGGGGGGTGCTTTTGGAATTTCGGACAAATCCGGACAGGGGGAGGGAGGATTTCTGATTTTGGCAGAATTAACGAAAAAGTCCCATTTATTTCAACTCTTTGACACTAATTACTCTGTAAGTTAAGATCCCTGTATTTTGACAGGGATCGACGTTATCGACGTTTCGGCAACATGCCTTTGTCATGGATCGACCCACTCATAACTTCATAAGAGCGAAGAAAGATTAAAACTACACATTTTATTAACAATGAATTTGAGATGGATTTATTTGTACTCATAAAAGTAGCTGGAAATCCGGAGTCCGGGGGAGGGGGTGGTTTTGAAAATTCGGACATACCCGGACAGGGGGAGGGGGTGGTATGAAAATCTGCGATTTTGGCGGCCGTCCTAAGTAGATGGCCCCTAATACTTCAGCCAGCTCAGCAACACGATCTAGACAGATACAGATTAACAATAAGGCACACGGCATAAGTCGTTCACGTCACAAATGACAATAGTGTGTGATGAATTAAGTAACCAGTAACCAGTAACCAGTAACCAGTAACCAGTAACCAGTAACCAGTAACCAGTAACCAGTAACCAGTAACCAGTAACCAGTAAACAACAGTAACAAGTAACCACCAGTAACCAGTAACCACAAGTATGAAGTAACCAGTAACCAGTAACCACAAGTATGAAGTAACCAGTAACCAGTAACCAGTTATCAGTAACCAACAGTAACAAGTAACCACCAGTAACCAGTAACCACAAGTAACCAGTAACCAGTAACCAGTAACCATTAGTAACCACCAGTAACCAGATACGACATACGTGTTACAGTTTTACCTCCGATCACTTCGCAGGAAATGTATCGTGCTTCATAAGCACATACACACACGTGAACCACTCAATATATCTGAATGTAATGACTTGAGTACTAAGCAATACAATCACTGCACAGTGCACATGAAGGTGAGTACAAGCCCTGTGGTAAGTGTTGTGAGTGAAACGCTCTGTCCAACAACAATAAATCTGTACACTTGTGCAAGCGATGAGCATGTATAGAAATTTAAGTCAGATTTAAGCAAACTCGGATTATTTGACTGAAAGCTTCTGAAAATAACTAAAACATTTTTAAAGATATTAATACACATTTAAAATACTTGACAAACTCTCCAGAGGATATTGCAGAATCTCCTTTCAATTAACTAATTAGAAATCCTGGCCTGGCTACGCCGGACCGAAGAGTTTTGGAGTCGCAGGGTCTAATTGTGGTCACGGAATAAAAACATGGAAACCAAATTTGTAGCGTGGCAACCAATTTTAATGAAATTATTGAATGTATGGGCTTCAGCAATCATGGGGTACATACTGGTAACTTTTTACTATACATTCTGAGAGATTCTGCAACTTTCTGGTTTTGCATGTACAAAAACCAGACGGGGGCAATAATTTATCCGAGTTTATTTTATACGTTATAATTGCTGTATTCTGTAAAGTTTGAAAAGTATTTGATTTTTAAAAACGATTTATTTTGTAGCGAAAACAAAATTTTGAGATTACATAATTTTCGATTAAATCCAAGAAGTTGCGGCTATATATGTACAAAAGATAATCCATAGTATATATCTAAATGCGTAAAAATATTATGATAGCTGCTATTAGAATTTTTTGGATACTGGACGAATAATCAAAACTTATCTTATAAATTAATGTCGAAAAATAAATTGTTAGCTACAAAGATTCAAGAATTTCTACAAAGAATCGTTTCAGTGAAAATAAGAAACTCAGAAAATTGGGAATTGGGATAGGTTGTTTATCACAGCGATCAGTTTTTAAATCAAACTACAGTTTCGACAAATGCTAAATGATTGAAAAAAAAACTCAAAAAATTAAAACCAAAACCAAATTGCAGCGGAGCTGAGTAGAGAAATCAAACTTATCGAATTGTTTTGTCGATCTTTTAAAGTTTAAAGTTAAAACTGTCAACATCATAATCCCCGTGACATTACAGAGACTAAATGGCAGCACTGTTGTCATGGTTACGCAACTATTATGCCAACACGTTGTGCTATCGAGAATATTACTGTCAAAGAAACTTCTTTAACTTTAAACTACAATATTAAGTGTCAGCAAATTATCAGATTATCGCGTAGTTAAAAAGCTAGAAAGAAAATCAATCTATAAAGCTATAATCTCAGAGAAAAATATTCATCTAAATAATTGCCGTTCATCTACAGAAAAATTAAAGCTATAAACTATCTTCTCAACAGCTTTTTCATAATCAATCAAAATTACTCTGAACTTAACGAAATTACTGTGAACTTAACGCTGTTATAACATTTTAACGTTACTCTACATGATCTGATATAATTGATATATAATACAGAGTTCAGTTCTACAATCTACAATCTACAATCTACGAATCAACAATCCATAGTCCGCTCAAAGAATCGATGTGATTTGGACGGTTGTAAGGAGTAGTCATCCCTAAAGAGAGTTGGCTGATCTACGGTTAAGAAATCTGATAATCTGGGTGTTCACCTGGAAACGGGAAAAAATCACATGAGAGAAAGTATTTATTAATCAGATTAAGTATATTAAATTAATATTCAAAATTTCATGAAATATAAAATACAAATATCTAATTCACACTTACGCTACTTTCCATTATAACTGTACACAGTGGAAACAACAGTAGCGACGTAGATAGCGTAGATGATTCCCACGACAACTCCTAGAACTACTTGTGTGATGATTGAAGCAATAGCCCATTTCTTAGCCGCCTGGAGAAATGGTTTATGAGAAGGTTTGCGCACCAATCGTTCTACAGTAAAATACATGTTTATACAAGGACAGCAATAATTCATCTTATCAAAAGGAACTTAATTCAGATTCAAATTTCAAATAGTTGAGTACGTACCTCTCCACTTCTTCTTGCTCCCTCGAAATCTCCTCGTCCAATACACTTGTCTGCCTCGTTAGCTTTCAGTACAGCAACCAGTCCAATCGGCCAGAAGAAGCACAAACACGCTATCCAGGCTAGGACAGCGTTTGTTTGTGGGGCAATTCCTCCTCTCTGTTGTACCTGGGTTATATCGTCATATTACGGATAATAGTTATTTAGTTTGTTATTCAGTCGCTCCTGTACAGTATGCTAATACACGGTTCAAGTTATTAAAGAGTTTTAGTTTTTATTAATTAAGTAGTTTTACTGTGTCTGGTGAGGGGAAGTGATTTGAAGATGATTCCAATAATATATTATGATCATTTCAGTTATCATTATGTAAGCAAATTTGCTTATTTAGCTTACACTCGTTATATTGTCTGTAGTATTACCTGTCACAGTAGCATGTACAGTGTTAATTAATGATATGGAGACTACAACATGATGGTAGTTATTATTTATACTATTAATATCTCAGTAAATTACTTAATCAATCATGTCAATTTTATTTAATCAATTATGTTAAGGGGACATACACCAAAACCTTTTTTGGTGCCACCCTAAATTTTATTTCATTTTAAGAAAGCATAGGCTCATAGGGGAAAAAATGAGTTTAGCCACATTACATTTTTTAAATAAATATTCCCTCATTAGGATTCATTTTAATTTAAGATTCAGTAAAAAAATTAGCTCAATACCTTTATAAATGACTAAGAAATCGGTATTACAACGACAGACTTGACCAAATTTTTAAAAAGCTTAAAAAAGATAAAAGTGAATTTTTCCGAATGAGGGAATATTTAAAAATTTAACGTGGCTAAACTCATTGCTTCATTCTTTTTCCCATACTTTCATAATATGAAATAAAATTTAGGGTGCACCAAAAAAGGTTTTGGTGTATGTCCCCTTAAAGAAGGAAAGTAATGATATTCATGTATATATCACTGTTAGCTACAGCTCCAGCTCCAGCAGAAAATAAACACACGAAACACGCTCAAAATAATATGATATCACGTGATCAGGTGATCACAACGAACAAGAAGCTCATATTACATGGTTACAAGGTCGCACTTTCTTGAGGGATAGCAACAGTACGTATAGAGTTACTGTGGGCCCTTGGCCAGGTAATATCTGGTCTTTAACAAGTGGTTCGGTTTTTGGAACTTATTTGCATCTATACCAAGCGGTTGAAAGTTGGTCAGATATTAACTAACACTATTACAGTTCAGTTACAGACCATAAATAGCCTGGTAATTATAATGAGATCTGCGTATTGTGTATTGTGTATTGTGTATTGTGTATTGTGTATTGTGTATTGTGTATTGTGTAGTGTGTAGTGTGTATTGTGTAGTGTGTAGTGTGTAGTGTGTAGTGTGTATTGTGTAGTGTGTAGTGTGTAGTGTGTATTGTGTAGTGTGTATTGTGTAGTGTGTAGTGTGTAGTGTGTAGTGTGTAGTGTGTAGTGTGTAGTGTGTAGTGTGTATTGTGTAGTGTGTAGTGTGTAGTGTGTAGTGTGTAGTGTGTAGTGTGTATTGTGTAGTGTGTAGTGTGTAGTGTGTAGTGTGTAGTGTGTATTTTGTAGTGTGTAGTGTCAAGTGTGTAGTGTGTTTTAGTGTACATCAGGCACCTCAAACTCTTATAATTATATACAAACAGCCTTTGTGCTACTGCGATTGTAACAAAATTATGTCATTTCACTGTCTAGGATGTAGCTAAGGATCCATTAGATCTATGCGAAATTACACATCTGTGTAATGTTTCCTCGGTTAACTCAGCCGAATGATCGGAAACGTGATTGAGGGTTAAATGAGGAGGGCCAGCCAAAAGATCAGGAATCGTCTTAGGATACATTGTAGAGTGATATTCTGTGTTGACGTATGTAATTCTAGTTCTATCTTTACTAACACAATAACGGTACACCAATTCGACAACCAACACATATCCACTATTGTCTACTTCACAAACCGCACAAAACGCTTAATACTAATAGTGTCAGAGGAGCTGGACCAGACTGGTGTAACATAGCGACTACTTACACGCCGTCTTAGCTCACCTTTCTCTTCAACGCCCAGTTGCCACTTAAGCGTAAATTTATGACACATCTAGGCTACCAGACAACTGAACCCAATTTAGACATTTAGATTTGTGTGTAGTGTGTGTAGCTTACGTTGCAATTATCGAGCTCCCTTATCTTTTGTAACTTAGCGATAAGTTCAGTTTGCTGTTACCGCGTAGTTAGCCTTTGCGTGTGTAATTGTACATTATTATACAAGTACACCATGGAGGATGATCTGAATTTGACCCGATCTCAGAAGAAAATCAAGGATTTCAACTACGAAGAAAAGGAAGATGTAGAGGGCTGTGCTGAAAGATGGTTCACTTCGATGGCAAGAGAACTGAAATTAGAAAACTTCGAAATTCGTGGAAATATGGACCAGGAAATACTCATGTCTCCGTCTATCTATAAAAGGTATATGGCAAACTGGGTTATGCAAGCAGCAGACCTCGTACGACGGCAGAGTAGTCAGATGAGCGCTATGATGGAAATCGTTGAGTGCCTCAAGACGGAAGCACTAGCAGACAAGGAAAAGATGGTCAGGTTGCAGGACCAGTTGCTAGTGCAGAAGGACGAACAACTACAGTTGTTTAAGACGTCAGTTGAAGAGACAGTACAAACAACGGTGGAGACAGGAATTAAGAGCTACAGTGCAGCTGTACAAAAGAACAGCACAAGTGGCGCGGTCTGCAACAGCAAAATTCTGAAGAATGTAATGAAGAGTGTGGCTGCAGAGGAGGACAGGAGCAAGAATCTGATAGTGTTTGGTCTGAAAGAAGAGGATGAAGAACAGCTACCAGCTCTGGTAACCGCACTATTGGAGGAGATCGGGGAGAAACCTCATTTTGAAGCGACTAGAGTCGGCTGGAAGAGGCCAGGTACGGCTATCCGACCAGTCAAGATCACCGTCCCAAGCTCAACAGCAGTTCATCAGATTCTGATGAAAACAGGGAGACTGAAGATGGCTGATGCACACAAAAATGTATGGATCTGTCCTGATAGATCCAGTGAAGAGCGTGCAGCAAGGAAGAACGTGGTAACTGACCTGAAGAAGAAGAGGGCTGAACAGACTCATCTCGACCACTACATCCGTAACGGGAAGGTCTGTAGCCGGGTTAAGAAGACACCATGATGACGTAATTCATGTTTCTCGGACACCACCGATCAGTATAATATGTACTTGTAGGGGTATTTTAAGAGTTAACGGACGTTATCTGTATTTGAGAGACAATTATATTATATACATACATTATTATTTGATTGTTTCACACTTTTCACATTTCATAATTTTATTACTAGGTGGAGGTGATGTTATTGAGACTTTGGGCGGCCAAAAAACTCTTGTTCTGAAAGTTGTCCTCTGTACTTGTTTCACTGACCCACGCTTTTTAGCATTTATACATTTCGGCCCATTTTATATGTTTGTTCGAATTGCTGTACATTTGTATACTTGCTATTTTGTAAAAGTTTCAAATCAAATCAAATCATTAACCCTAGTCCCTAACTCTAACTCTAACCCTGACCCTGACCCTGACCCTGACTCCCTGACCCTGACCCTGACCCTGACCCTGACCCTGACCCTGACCCTGACCCTGACCCTGGTCCCTGACCCTGACTCCCTGACCCTGACCCTGACCCTGACCCTGACCCTGACCCTGACCCTGACCCTGACCCTGACCCTGACCCTGACCCTGACCCTGACCCTGACCCTGACCCTGACCCTGACCCTGACCCTGACCCTGACCTTGACCCTGATCCTGACCCTGACCCTGACCCTAACCCTAACCCTAATTGGTTAGTGGGAACTAGGTTCAATTGGGTTCAGTTCTCGGTCACCCCACATCTATCAATATTTACCATCATCCTACATCACACATTCTATTTCCCCCGACATCCTACCTTAGGAATGTCATACCCCAGAGGTAGGCAAAGCATCCACAATCCACATGCTATCCTCTTGTGGGCTACCCAGGCCCAGCCTCTCTTCAAAATTAAAAAATAATAATAATAAAAACAGCACACCATGATGCAGCATTACACAGTTACACATCCAATACAGCATGCCAAAATAATCCGTAGATAAACAAAACTGATTCAATTTGTAACCATGAAATCTAACGAACAAACACTTAGCAAACTGTACACTGTTGACTGTATACCAGTGTACACTGTTCAATGTATACCGGTGTACGCTGTTGACTGTACACTGTTTGTCGCACAATTGAACTCACACAGTGATTATGTATAAGGGGGGGGGGGGGGGGGGGAGGGGGGGGGGGGCAACCATATTAAAGTATATTAAAATGTAGGTTTTTTTTTCAATTTTGACCCGGGGATATACTTTAATATACTTTAATATATATACTTTAATATACTTTAATGTACTTTAATATACTTTAATGTACTTTAATATACTTTAATATACTTTCATATACCTATATATTATCTCGATTCAAAATTTAAAGTTAGTCTTGTTCAAAGATATTGATACTTGACTAATTTATGGGCCAAAATATATCAAATTTGGTGCATATTCCCAAATATGGGCATATGGTTTTTGATTCATATCTTAGCCATTTTTGTCCAGTCTCGATGAAAATTCAAATCCAAAATCCAGGAGACCACTAGCTACAAGTAGAGCACCTTAAATCGGGATTTTGGGCATTTTTAGGTGGTTCTGCATAATTGGGCCAAAAAGGCACCAAATATTGGCGCGGCTGCCCAGCACGACTGAGGAATTTTTGGTGATATATTATATCTAGCTAGCTACAGTCCGCTTATTTTTTAGATTTTCTTCAAAAGAGGCCCACACGCACGAGAGGATAGAAAGATGAACTAAGACAACATGTGAGTAGTCGCTAATTGTCACACCGGTATGGTCCAGATCCTCGGGCACAATTAGGCGATTGGTGCGTTTTGCGAAATTGACAATAGTGGTGATATATATAATATAGTAATAGTAATAGTTAATAATATATGCTGGTTGTCAAACATGATGACTGTTTAGTAGCCGCCACCCTTAATTTGATTGGCTACTAGTATTTCTAGTAGCCGAAAAGTGACCACCTAGTGTGTAGTGGCCAGTAAATGGCCATTATCTGGCTAGTGACCAATCACTGACCACACTTGTGACATGGTTAAGAGTAACCGGCTATTAAGTGATCACTTTTTAGTTGTGACATGGTTATGACCATGTCTGAGCATCTTCTGGTTGATCTTCCACTGGGTTAAATCCTGCTCCTTCTTCAGGACGTCGATAAATCGCCAGATAGTAGTGTTGGTGCAGCCCATCAAGGATCGGAAACCGGCTTCAGCTAAACGATCCGACGAATCACTTAATGGTCCATAAGAAGGATAGGATGTAAACTGAACTTGGAAATAAAACAGGACATTTTGTCGCACTAGAGTACGTTACCTGGATCGTAGTGCGACACGTACTGTAGTGCGACAGAGGGTGTTTTTGTCGGACTTCGCACTAGAGTACTTGTCGCACTACAGTACGTGTCGCACTACAGTACGATTACCGTTTTTAAAATGTTCATAAAATAAAAACTTTCCAAAAAAAGTTTACTTACCACAACAACTTGAGGTTGTTGTTGAGGATATTGCTGAGGAGGATAACCTTGACCGGGCTGACCTTGAGCGGGGGGATACGCCTGAGGAAATTGAAATTTAATATTTTAATATTTCATTACCGTACTTTAACAATACTTTAACTGTTAAAAAATATTGTAATATTATGAGGTCCAAGTGGTTAAAATTCGATCTAATTTTAGTATTTATACGTTTTAGTACAGGGTGGGCCAAAAGTCAGTGGGCATACGTTGGCCTTAATAGCTCAGTCACTGAGTGCCCAATTGAAATAATTCTTTCTGGTATGACTTACTACTATCACTGGTTCGAGGAATTTGTCAAATCGAAGAATATTCGAGTTCATTTGTTTCAAATGAAGGTTCATTTTTGCATTTAATTGATAGTTTGGACTTTTGGATAGTCGGATCGAGCTAAATTTTATTGAATTGTGTTTGGCCATTCGAATTACGTTTGTCCTGAAAAAATTAGAATTTAAGCTTCTCAGATAACCGAGATATGAAGCATAACGAGTTTATTCATTACGTGTGATCAGGTGATTGGTTTACCTAATCACGTGAGAAATTACTTACCGCTACAGTTGCCATTTTTCACACTCCTTTGCGGAAAAAAACCTGTACAGTGTACAATAACCATTTATGGTTATTCCAATTGATGAAAATCATATATTTTTAATCTAAGAGCTTAAAATCTAACCTTAAAATTTAATAAAGGATGGAATGAGTCATAATATTAACGATTATAATAATAATAAAAGTGTTAATTTTGTCTAGGTAACAGTGATCATTTTAAAATGGCTATATTACTTATTGTGATATTATATATGCTTGAAGAATGACGATAGAGTAGCAACAAACCACAAAGTATCATAAACGGGATGAGCAACTATACAATATATTCCAGCAATAAGCTTAGAGATAATTGTAATCGGAAAATGCCGAGTTGGTACACCTAAGATTGTTTTGATAAGTTTGTTTTGACACCTGACAGCGATGAACCAATCAACTTGCAGCCTCTTAGCCTCTACCAAAGTACCAATATGATTATGATCTAATACTGTTATGATAACCGTGATTAGAAATAATATTGTGGTACACATTTTCTTAAAACTGCTCAACTGTGTCACAATCAAAGCCACGAAAAATCATGGTAAAAAGTCAAGGCAAACAAGTCATAGTAATTAGTAAAAAGGTAGTACAGTGCAAAATTCATACTGAAAAATTCATACAAAATCTGCTCTTCATTTTCACCACATGCACAGTGAGTATGAGATAGGACCACATTCTACTCAGTTTATTATTCAACAATAGTCCTGACAACAAAGAAATAATGCACTTCTTCAGACAATAGTCTCGTTTAAAGACGAAGGTAGACGAAAGATCTGGGACAGGGTGGCCCAAATAATTCAATAATTCAATAGATTGGATCAAAATAAATATTTGACTAATGTTCTCTTTAAACTTGTAATGAAGAATGCCCCTACAATATAAGAAAAATGTTGGGTAGTCATAGGAACCTATGCGGAAAAACATTGCTTACGAATCCAGTGACAACATAAAACTAAACAGGTCCCAAGGTTGTGAGTGATGATCGTATTTATAAGTTTATCCACTTGACTTACTTATAAGTAAGATAAACCAACACGGTAACCCATAAAGGAGTTTCAACAACAAGAGAAATTTAAGGCACTCTAACGTAAGACTTAGGAGACGGACCTTGTTCTGGACAGCCTTGCTTTGATCACCAGGCTTGTGTTGATATACGGCTGCTATGTGACTACAATAAGTTACTATACGTATACGACTGAAACTGGTATTTATTAAATAGCCGGATTTCTTTAAACAGCCTGACCAAGCTCGTCTAGTCCTACATGTGCTCTTTCATAAATATTATCAAAGTCTAATCCTTATTTACTGATGCTTCCGGTGGTAGGCACATGATGTCTATGGTAGAAAACTCAATTTGTAATGTCTAAAAGATGTAAAAGGTGTTGCCCTTGAACTTGTGGTTGTTACAAGCTTACTACAATGGAATTTAAACAGCTCCAATTTAGTTACCGTCTAGATCATGCTTGTTGTAGTTGCACTATATTTGAGTTACAGTCTGGTGATTTGTTGCATAAAGATAAAAGGTGGAATGGAATTGGGAAACGGGATATCAAGGTCTATATCGAGGTATTTACATGTGGATTCTTGTGGGAGATGAAAATATCCTTCCAGACATTTAACAACCATTAACCGATGAGCTTCCAGTATTGATCAATCAAATTCCAAAACACATCCCCCTAGAATCTCCATCTACTTTCTACTAAATCATAAATGGGTGTTGAATATCTTAAAAACCACGAAAATGTAAAATCAAATCTGACAAACTTGTTGAGGTGGGTACCCTTGTTGAGGTGGGTACCCTTGTTGAGGTGGGTACCCTTGTTGAGGTGGGTACACTTGTTGAGGGTACTGTTGTTGTTGAGGGGGATATGCTCCCTGCACATAAGGTGGTGGCTGATCTTTACCGGAGTCTGCCATAATAGTCGCTACTGCGATATATTTTATGAGAATCTTTTTATAGCAATAAATAAATTCAATGAAACTAATAAATCAATGAAACTAATAAATCAATGTTTTAGCTCATTTTACAAAGTCAAATATTTAAAACAATTAAAATTGTATAGTGCTCAATTTGTAAATGACTAGTTGATCTTTGCTATTGGAAGTTTGTCAAGGACTGGCAGCTAGCGGGCAAGGAATGCACGGGCTTAGGGGCTTTTGTGCACACCAGAACACTAGCTCGGTAGATTTTTGGAAACTAGAAGGACTGAAAACTAAAATTGTTTTTGATGGAGGCTGAGGCAATTAACCATGGAATAGTCTGAAGAATCTTAAAAAGGATACACAGTCCATAGTTTTTTAGATATTGGAGAAGAGTCCCATTGATTATGATTGGTTAAGAAATCTAGCATTAGTTTTTTAAATATTTGCGGTAAGGGAAAATGACATTGATATTCAGTATTTGTGGTATTGGACAGAGAAAAAACAAAGTAAAACCATTTCAAGAAAAAAGATTGTCTGGCTGAAGTCTGAACAATATAGCGTATTTAAAGAAAAAAGAATTTTGCTGTGGTTACACCGCGCACGATCAATTTTCCCTACAATGTACTTATACCAGTAATTATTTTAAGTGAAAAGTGTGCACACGTGACAATCAAGTTTTAAGTTTAAGCAACAGATCTTGAAAAAAAGTGCAGAACATTTGCATACTATATTTCCATAAATGAGTAGGATCCATGCTAAAAATTGACGATTTATTGGAACAATGTAGCGCTGCGCACCAACTATAAATCAATCCAGAAAATCGTGGAAAGTAATTTTGCAAAGGAGGAAACTTGGGTGTTATTAATTAACGTATGACTGGTGTCGCACGTAGCAATATAGACGTCTCCAATACACATAATTAAAGGGGAGTGGTTTATATTTCGAAGGAGCTGACTTTTTTCGACATCGTAAGATTTGCAACATAAATGTCACTTGTGACTTGGCCTTCGATGGCAAGTTCTCCAATTTCATGAGCAGCACTCAGCAGCCCCAGGTGAAGATTAGTTTGAAAAGGTCAGCTTTGGCGTCTTTGAATGGTCGCTGAAATGTCCCTAGAATCAAATTCGGCCTATATTATGACTCGTTCCTCACAAGCATGGTTCAAACATGGAATTAGGCCCACCCAAAAAACCGAAGCTAACCCTGCCAGCATGGCCATGGGACGGTTTTCCATAACCCTAAGAGCAATGAACAAACAATTTAAAAGAACTGGACCATCATACTTGGTGATTCGAACACCAAAACAATAAAGTTTGAGAATGGTGCTGGGACTATGGGCCAGTTATTCCCTGATGAAAGAGTTAAGAGAGGCAAAGTCAGTTTGATTGACCCTTGTCGCTGCATTGGATACAGCAACGCTGTTATTGTGTGTGGTAAAAAATGACTTCCGGGTAGACAACCTTAGAGGAGAGAATAAAATCTATCAGCTGATTGACATTATCCACTTAAAGATTCAACAAATAAAAAAGCTTTGCCCTAGTACCAAAATGTTTGTCGCAGCAGTCCTCTCATCCAGATTGCCACAAATGAACAAAAAAACATTATGACCTTCAATCGGCTAGTCGGAGAAATGTTGAGTGCCACCCAGTGGCGTAAGGAAGGGCCCGCTGACCCCACTGGGGGCGCCATCTTAGGGGGGCGCAAAATCGTCATTTGAATGTGGGACAATTTTGAAAAACTTAACTCAGGTACTTGCAAAACTGCACGTTTTGCTCTAGTAGAAACACACTTTTTTAGAGATTTTACCGGCATATCCTTTAAAATCATCTAATTTGTTCAAAATGGGGGCGCCAACAGGGTGGCACATTTTCGGGGGGGGGGGGGGGGCAGGAGGCAACATTACGCCACTGCACCACTTGATGACAATATCAAGTAAACCATTTTAAAAACTTGATTTTTGACAAAGTAACAACTTTTCAAATCGATTTACACCATCATGGAGTAATTTTTTTTCTCCAAAATTTGAGAACTTATTGAAGTTAGATAATTGTTCAAGCATTCTGAAAATTTACCGGAAATTTTCCTTCCTTGCTCCTTCATGAAGATATTCCCTACTATATTGAAGTTAGTGCTTTTTTAAAGAATGATTCTATAAAAATACAAAAGTTGTGATTTAGTATTCTCTGGTGTTGGGCCATCCCTTGGTTTGTGGAGCTCATTTCCGCTTCCTATATAGGTCTTTATTGTGCATTATGCTAGTTTTAAAGTTGAAAATCGAAAAATTGCACATGTGGGGACATAACACGCCCAAATTGATACAAAATTGCTAAAATCACTGAAAATTGCTATTTTCACCATTTTCTGTCAACTTTGGAGTCTCGTTGTGATCCAAGTTTGTTTTGAAATTCGTTTTGAAATTCGCTCGCTTTTCCCATTTAATCACGGCATACGAATTGTAACAAGTTTCGATTAATTACATCAATCACATGATGCTGTAAACATCTTTTTGGGTTGCTTTTGGGTCGATACCTAATATTTCGGGATAAGGGTGGTAGTAAGTGTCCAATTAGCTGATGTTTATTGAATCTTTATTGCCGAGTACAGCTGCCTTAGCTTCAGGTAGTTCTTCTTAATCTATTACAATTGTAAACGAATGGGAAAAGCGGGCGACCGATTTCATTCTTGGTATCATTTTGCATTTGCGGAGGGTTAGGTTATTTAAAATTAATACCATTTCCTTTAAGGGGGCCGGGGGGGTCTTCAATCTTCATCAAAATTCTCTCGAAATTGACTTTATAGTTGTTTCTGATAGAGGGGAGTGATATCTATCAGCTGTTTTTAGTCCCATGGAAAAATATTGTTCCTAACCGAAATTATTGCCGGTCAAAGGTCAGCGCTTCTGTGTAATTGTATTGCGCGAGCGATTTTCAATCGCGCGAGCGATTTTCAATCGCGCGCCCTGAAAATCGAGTCTAAAAATCTATCTCCTCCTACATTTTTTGAGCAATCACCCTGAAACTTTCAGGATATGTTCTAAGGACCATTTAGAAGAGATTGTCGGGCCAGAATTTTGAGATAGGCCTTAGAAAATTTTGTATTTGATTTTGAAAATCTTAGACCTCGTTTTTTGACGATTTTTTCAGGTTTAGAACTTTCGGGATATGTTCTAAATGGTCCTTAGAACATATCCTGAAAGTTTCAGGGTGATTGCTCAAAAAATGTAGGAGAAGATAGATTTTAAGACTCGATTTTCAGGGCGCGATTGAAAATCACTCGCGCAATACAATTACACATAAGCGCTGACCTTTGACCGGCAATAATTTCGGCTAGGAACAATATTTTTCCATGGGACTAAAAACAGCTGATAGATATCACTCCCCTCTATCAGAAACAACTATAAAGTCAATTTCGAGAGAATTTTGATGAAGACCCCCCCGGCCCCCTTAATTGTTGGGAAAGAGAGACACTGGCTATTTTTCATCATTTTTTGTCAACTTTGGAGTCTCGTTGTGATCCAAGTTTGTTTTGAAATTCGTTTAGAAATTCGCTCGCTTTTCCCATTCATTGACGGCATACGAATTGTAACAAGTTTCGATTTATTTCATCAATCACATGCTGTAAACATCTCGTTGGGTTGCTTTTGGGTCGATACCTAAAATTTCGGGATAAGGGTGGTAGTAAGTGTCCAATAAGCTGATGTTTATTGAATCTTCATTGCCGAGTACAGCTGCCTTCGTATCGGGTAGTTCTTCTTAATCTAATACAATTAAGTATTTTGAGTACTTGTCGTAGCGCGCAGGAACCTTCTTGTGTGAAGTAGACCTAATTTTATGTCATTTTCGTTTTAATTTTTTACGCGCGCACGAAGCGCTAGTTTTAGTCTTTTCAAAACTTTAAAATAGGGGGAGTATCATATTTTACATTTAAGTTATTATATTCATAGACATGTCTGAGTAGTTATGTTTTGTTGTTTCACACACACTCATTCCCTTAGCATGTAAATACAACAAGGATGTAAATATAGAGGATTCAGGTGAACGGAACGAGAGCTAACCCTGAAGGGCAGGTAGTGTAATGTTTAGCTTATTTTGGTTTCTATGTAGTAGTTTCAGTTTCTTTGTAGTAGTTCCTTTAGTCCTAGGTTTGTAGTTTTGGGTTACTACTTTCTAACATACTTTCTTATATTTACAGGGTTGTTTTTAGTTCTAGTGAGTGTCTGCTGCTGTAAGAGTGAAAGCCAGACAAGTCAAGTTCCAGTGTGTGTGTGTGTCACGGGGACCACACAGAAGAACCTAAAGAGAAGATCTAGTGTTTGTGAGTAAGGGAATATCACAACACGTTCACAGCACTTCTGGGGAAGTGATAGAAGATTTAGTTTCTAAGAAGTTAGAAGAAGTTAGAAGAAGTAGTTTCTAAGAAGTTTGAACTGTTATTAAGAAGGATTTACAGTTTTGGGAAGATTTGTTTGTAATCACATTACCACACCACTCACGAGGTTAAGTGAGTGAGAGTTGTGTTTGAGGTCTGTGTAGAGTGACGTGCAGTGATAGTGAGTGCAGCGTTAGTGTGCTAACCCATTACCAATTTGTTAACAATTCATTTACTAACCCATTTAACCAATTGTTACCAATTTAGTTACTAACCCAAATTACAACTTGTTTTACTTTGTCTCCCGTGATTGATCAGAACATACAATTTAACAAAACTAATATGCGAAATTTGCTGCTGCTGCAATAGACCTGTGCGTGCTGGACATCCATTCATAATTTGTCAGATGTGTGACAAAATAATGCACAAAAAATGCAAAACTGATGATAACATAGTCAAATTTCGAGATGGAACATACTGCAGAATATGCACTGATGCCAATGATATTGTTCGGTACAACCCTTTCTACCAAGCTCCCCACTTTGCAAACAATGGCCTCATTGATGATGAGCCAGTCAATTATATAGAATCTATCTACAATAGCTCAAAGGTTCTTGAAAATTGCAAAACATTCTCCATAAAAGAGTTGAATGCCACCATCCTACCTAAAAATTCAGTTAAATATTTGTCCAAATTATTTCTTAACATTGATGGAAATGCATCCAACTTTGACAACTTTGCAGTTGAGCTGTCTTGTATCGACCACAAATTCTCTGTTATCGGCCTTGCAGAAACAAACACCAATCCCGAAAATGGAGCCCTGTATCAGCTTAACGGATACTCCTCCTGTTATCAATCACGTTACTTTTGTCAAAAGAAAAACCAGTTCAAGAGTAAAGGGTCAGGAGTGTGTCTTTACCTGCACGATTCCCTTAACTTTAACAAGATTACTGGCTTATCTCTCTGTAATGAACACATAGAATCACTATTTGTATCTATCACTAGCTTGCAAGACCCAACTGTTGTAGGGGTTATCTACCGTCCCCCGAACGCATCACTTGAACTGTTCAACGAAGCATATGAACGTATTCTCTCAAAATTGAATGGCAAAAAAGTATACATTCTTGGTGATTTCAATGTCAACATTTTGAAAGACCCATCTCCAGTTTTAATACTTTCAACACTACTATATAACAAATAATTTGAGTATTTCTGTGTGCGCGTTGAATTATCTCGCTGGCTTTGTAGATTTGTATACATTGTTTGTACATTTTCTGTACAACGTGTACGATGCCTCTTCCGCTACAGAATGAACATATGGATATATTAGATGATGATATGGTCGTGAATGGCCAGTTTCTTACGGAATATGTGAATCAGATACACATGGCGACTGAAAGTATTTTCAAGGAGATTAGAAGTAAAATCGGAGTTGAACACAACGATGATGTGCGGTTTGATAAACTGAACCAGAGAAGTGTGCCTAGAGAAAGGTTATCAGAATGGTTAGAGACAGTTTGCTGTTTGCTGAACGATTTTTGTGGTCCATTGTTACGATCCGCCACAGAAACAGCTAACGACAACAGAATGTTCAGGAAAGAAAAAATAGAAGATGCGACTAAAATCATAGAACTACAAGAGAAGTTGCTCTCTAAGCAAGAAGAAGATATGGCTAAAATCAGTGATTTGCAGGAGAAGTTAGCTTTGAAGAAGGATGATGAGATTGGAACTATGAAAAGTGCAGCTCAGAAAGAGATCAAAACCTTTTCGTCTCTTTTGAAAAACACATGCAAAAACGCCTTTGCACCAAAGAAGATCCAAGCTGCGGTGAAAAGAATTTCCCTAGAAGAGGATCGAAGTAAAAGTCTGATTATCTTTGGGCTTCCAGAGACTGAGGAGAACCTGGATGCTAAGGTATCTGGTATTTTGTTGGACCATCTCAACGAAAAACCGAAAATTTTGAGATGTAAACGAGTTGGAAAGGACACTAGTGAACGAGTCAGACCAGTGAAATTCATTTTGTCAAGCTCAGATCAAGCTCGAACCATCTTGAGCAAGACTAAGCTACTAAGACATGTAGACGGGTTTAGTTCAGTTTACATTACTCCAGATAGATCAGCTGCAAACAGGATGGCCTACAAGAAAGTTGTCGACCAACTACTCAATAAAAGGACAGCAGAGCCTGACAAAGTTCATGTTATCAGGAACTTTAGAGTCATTAGCTCGGAGAAGGAGCCTTTAGAGTGATATATTTTCTATAAGTACAATATTATATGTTTTAATTCATTGATTAATTAATTTTTTGCTAGGGCCCAATGTTATTGCGGGTGTGGTATTTCTTACTGCACACTACTGTGTTTTGGTCACCCCTCTTTCAATACATAATTTGGGTTTCATACTGGGATAGTAGATATTAGGGCTATATCGGTTTTCTCCTTTTATAACTGGGTTTATTTAGAAGCATTCAATTCTGTATAATTATGTATTGTTTGAAAAGATTTAGATAAAAAAAATTAAAAAAATCAGAGGACAAATTCCAAGAAATAATATTCAACAACGGCTTCACACCAACCATATCAGTACCAACACACCAAATGCCTGGCTGTTCCAGGACTTGTATCGACAATATCCACACCAATGTAGTAGACCAATCCCTTATTTCTGGTGTGATATCTGATAATATCTCCCACCATCACCCTGTATTCACTCTTGTTGAGCTTCCCCCTAACTCGGTGCCTAAACCTGATTCACCAGACAAAATTACCATACACTACGACTATAGTAATGCTAACCTAGAGAAGCTCTGTCTTGAAATAGAAAACGATATAGATAGGTTCCAGCACAGCTGTGACACATTTGACTCTTTCATGCAGTTATTTCAAGAAAAGATAGATTTGTCTTGCAAACTTCTTACTCCTAGAACCACTAAACGCAACAGCATAACTAACCCTTGGATTACCCAGGGGCTAATTAATTCCATAGACAAGAAAGCTAGGTTGTATTTCGAATGGAAGAAGACTTGTACATTAAAACTACCTGACGGGGATCAAAACAAGCACATCTGCTACAAGGAATTCGACAAGTTTCTCAAAAACTCAATAAATATGGCAAAAGCTATGTGCTATACTAGAAAATTCGAGAAGTACAGCATGAACTCAAAAAAGACCTGGGAAGTTATCAATGAACTCCGTGGTAAGAATATGTCTAGATGTTAGGACGATTTTGTCATAGATGGCCAGAGAATTACTTGCAGACGAATAATTGCTAACAAATTTTGTGAATACTTTACATCTCTTGCAAGCAATCTCAATAGAAATGTATTGTCGAACAATAGTATTTCTCTGGAACCAGTAGAATCATTTGCTCAATTCATGTCTAATTCAGTGTCCGACTCCATATACCTAGAAGAAACTAATGAAGATGAGATTATCGAGGTCATCAGAGATTTTCAAAAGGGCAAGGCAAGTGACATACTATACCTATAATCGTTGTAAAAAATCGGCAAAGCTCATCGCTGGTACCTTGGCTAGGCTTTACAACATATGTATACAAAGTGGAACATTCCCAAGTATTTTTAAAACTGGTAAAGTTATTCCTATTTACAAGAAAGACAATAAGGAATGTATTGAAAATTATCGGCCTGTATCAATATTACCTTTATTTGGAAAAATTTTCGAGAAGGTCATTTACAAACGGCTCTATAATTTCTTCACATCTAAAGGTGTACTAACAGACTCGCAGTTTGGATTTATAAAAGGCCATTCTACCGCCCATGCTCTACACAAATCTATAGACTCTGTTACAAAGTCCCTGGCTAGCAATAAACATGTCCTAGGCATATTCATTGACTTGAGCAAAGCCTTTGACACCCTTGATCACAATATTCTTCTAAGCAAGCTAAATTCCTATGGTATTAGGGGCACAGCACTAACTTTACTAAAAAGCTACTTGACTAACAGAAAGCAGTATGTGATGTATAACGATGTACCATCAGAAACAATGGATGTGGAATTCGGGGTTCCTCAAGGGTCAATTCTAGGGCCATTACTCTTCCTACTGTATATGAACGATATAGTAAACTGTTTTTCAGACAGTGAAGTGAAATTTGTACTTTATGCTGCAGATGACACTAATATCTTCATATCAGGACCGTCTAGAGAAGCAACATACAAAAAAGCCAACTTAGTGCTTAAACATGTCTCGATTTATATGAAATGTAATCTACTTCATATCAACATGTCAAAATGCTGCTACATCCATTTTAAACCTGCCTCTGAATATGATGACATTTGTGCACGGACTAGACCATTTGCTACCCTGCTAAATGAATCTAGATCAATATTCATCAATGGTAAGGTTATCACTAAAGTCAAGGATACCAAATTCTTAGGTGTTGTTATAGATAGTAAGCTAAACTGGTCTGCCCACATGCACTACATCCGTAAAAAACTGAGGTCCATGACTGGTGCAATCTGTAGAATTCGGCACTCGATACCTGCTGAACTATATTTAAAAATATATAATGCTCTATTTGAATCACATCTAAGTTATGGTATAAGTGTTTGGGGAGTTGTCCTCAAAGAACGGTCAAATGATAGTCTTTTTATCACACAGAAGCACTGTATAAGAATCCTTTTTGGGGCTTTTACTAAATCGCTTGCCCAAAAATTTTTCGTGACTTTGGTTTTTTGGTTTTGCAGCCGTACAAAACGGTTTTACATAAACCCTAATCCCAACCCTAACCCTAACCATAACCCCGAAGCTATCCATAATCTTAACCACAACCCTAACCCTAACCCGAGCCCTTAATAATCGAATTCACGTTTTAATAGCCTGTCACGTGACCAAAACGGTTTTTTGCCCATAACTCTCCAGGGAAGCATTTTAACCCTACGTCATGGGGGGTGATTCGGAATCAGCGTCCAAAAATACACCGATTTAGATCAGTTTCATGCCTAAAGGGCCTTTTCACAAGAATTTTCTTAAAATTTGGGCGAGCGATTTAGTAGGAGCGCCTTTTTGGTGATCTCGACTCATATCTAGATAAACAATCAACATGTGCAAGAACTAGACCATATGGCATGCAAATACTAGGCCATAAACATTTTGAAAAAGAGCATACGAAACCCATTTTTAATAGGTTAAAAATTCTTACGGCTCAAAACTTGTATAAATATCACTGTATTTTAGAATTCTCTAAGATTATCAAGTACCACTGCCCATACTCCCTTTATGAGGCTATCAACATTTCAAACCGTGCAACGAGTCTAACAGTTATTCTTCTAAATAAATCAAATACCTTTTTGTTTAATGCAGCCAAGCTTTGGAACACTGTTCATATAAAAAAATTTTAACTTCAAGCAATTGTCTAGAAACTTCCATTAACTTGATAAAATTGAGAACGAAAGCACTATTAATACAATCACAGGCTGCTGACTTAAAAGAGACTTGGACTCCAAACAATTTTAAGTTACAGTAATTTAATCTAATTGCAGCAGCACAGCACACAGCACATAACATAATTTAAACTATTGCTATCATTATTGTACTACAGACTGAAAATATCTCAGATCTATTTTGGGCGTTTTTAACAACTTGTAGTTGTAATTCTTAAATATTAGATATCCTAATTTATAACTTTTTAATCAGAGTGAATTAATAATTGATATTTGATAATTTATTTATTTGATAGTTTAGTCTGATATTGATATTAATATTGATTATATTGATATTGTTATAATTGAATGAAGCTAATTCCAGACATAAATAATACTACTTCTATTAACAAAGGGACTTGGAGTATAAACGACCAATTTTGCATAATTGTCTTTCCAACCAAGAATTCAGGTGGCAAGGGTGGGTGCGTAAACTTTATGGTCTGCACTCTCAGATCCTGTATCACCCTGGATTCATTTCGACGTATTTTTGGTAAAAGTATACATATACTTTCTGGTCACTCTCTTGCTACTCCAAGTCCCCTAAGATATATGGTCTAAAGTTTGCACTAGTTATATATATAAAATATGTTTTTGTCTGCTTTAACTGATACTAAATAAAATTGTTGTTTTCTTGAAATTGTTGTTTTCTTGAATTATTTCGATTCTGATCGTAAATTTTACGACGCGATGTGTTCGCTCATGATAATATAAAAGTTATTTCCGTACTCAGCTCTATAAGTAATATAACATATAAAACACTATCTGTTAT